GAGGCTGCTGTGGAAGCAGAGCCAGCCGGCCCTTCCCAGTGCTGCTCTGTGGGGTCACAGAAGAGATCTTGGCTCCGGCATGAATCGGGCTCTGGGGAAAAGCAGCACTAAAAGAAACTCTAAAGAACATAAGACCATAAAAATGCAGCGGGAGCGGGAAGCACGTCCCTGGTTCTCCAGGGGTTTCAGTGCCCATCTGAGCATCCGGGGGTGAGAGCATGAGCCAGGCTGTCAGTGCAGAGAGGTTTCCTCCTCCCGTGGTGGGCTTTGCTGTGCCTCCCATGGGGAACGTCCCCTTCCCTGAGCTCCCATGCTGGATGGGAAGGCAGCTCCCTGGCACTGCTGGAGCTGTGGCAGCTCCTCCAGCCCCAGCTGTGCTGGCATTCACTCAGCAAAAGCATCCTGTGCTGGGAGAATTCCTCCTCTCCACATTGCCAAGGCAGCATCCCTTTGCGAGCCGAGCCTGTTTGGCAAAAGCCCTGATGCGGATGCTTGGAGTGGTAGGTCTGGGATATTGGGGCTGCCAACTCAGGATAGAGACATCCCTGTGGAGCATCACAGCTTTCCCTTTGGACCAGCTGTGCCTCTCCAAAGCCCACAGCCCCCCTGAGCACACAGCACTGGGTTTCCATGTGTGAAAGCAGGCGGATGGCGGGTTGCTTTCAAAGCCGCCCCGTCTTTGGGGCTGCACCCAGGGTGCTGAGCAGGACCTTGCGCAGGGCAAAGGTTGGGTGGAGGTTTTCGCTGTACACAAGCTGTGTTTGCTCAGCAAAGCGCTGCTGAAGTGGCTCCAGGCTGTGCATGGAGGGCTCTGGTGAGTGTGGGGCTGACTGCATTGAACTGGGATGCCTGGTACCAAAGTGCTCCTTTGGCAGCCTCTGTGCTTCGGGGGGTAGCTCTGGGGTTAGGCAGGTGATGAGAATGCTCTCCTGCCCATGGGAAGCAGAGCAGAAGGGGGGGGCAGATGTCTCAAACCCCATCACCTCTGCTGCTCTGTGGCCATCACACCTGCAGCTATAGCCCTTAATGCTGAAGGAGGCAGCTCTTCGAGGCTGGCTTGCCAGGCTGCCCTTCCTCTTCTTGGGTCAGGGGTTATAAACTCCTAGAACTGGGATAATGTTGCCTTGTTGCAAGGTCCGATGGATGGTCCTTTCTTCCTGCATGGCTCCCCACCCTCCTGGTGGTGGGAAGTGGCTAACATGGGCTTGCCTTGACCCTGGAGA